TGCCTTTTCATACTGTTCATGGGGTTCTCAAGGCAAGAATACTGAAGTGGTTTGCCATTCCCTTCCCCAGTGGACCACGTTTTGTCAGAACTCTCCACCACGACCCGTCTATCTTGGGTGGCCCTACACAGTGTGACTCATAAATTCATTGAGTTAGACAAGGCTGTGATCCATGTGATCAGTTTGGTTAGTTTTCTGTGATTATGGTTTTCATTTTGTCTGCCCTCTGATGGATAAAGATACTGTATAGTCCATGGGGTCACAAAAAGTCGGACATGACTGAGCGAATTTCACTTTTGTGGCTGTTACAGCAGCTAGCATCACTTCTTTTGACTGACTCAGAGATTTGCCTCCTACAGATTCCTAATCAGTGAAAACTCAGACTGAATAAATATTTTAACTTCACTCCACTTGAGGAGAAGTGAAAGTCGCTCAGTCGTGTCCGACTTTTTGTGATCCATGGACTGTAGTCTGCCAGGTTCCTCTGTCAATGGGATTCTCCAGGTAAGAATACTGGGGTGGGTAGCCATTTCCTTCTCCCGGGGAGCTTCCCGACCCAGGGGTCGAACCCAGGTCTCGTGCATAGCAGACAGATTCTTTACCATCTGAGCCACCAGCGATGCCCACTTGGGGAGAAAGAGTCCTGCAGATAATCTCCTGGATCTTTGATTCTATCTTCTACCACGTTCTTCTGTGTCTTAAACCACCCTGCAGGGTTCACTCTGTGATTAGAAACGGAATGTCTCTAAGGGTTATTTTAGATCAGGCTTGGAATATGACTGAACTGGATTCAGTTCATGTCAATGAATGTTTCTGAGTGCTTACTCTGCACAGTCCATGACTGAGCCCCTGTTCACATTATGGGGTCTCTCGATACCCTTCGGGGCTTCCCAGGTGCCTCAGTGGCAAAGAATCCGCCTACCAATGCAGGAGATGCAGGAGACTCGGGTTCCATCCGTGGGTTGAGACGACCTTTTAGAGGAGGAAATGGCACCCACTCCAGTATTCTTGCCTGGGAAGTCCCATGGACAGAGGAACCTGGCAGGTACAGTCCACGGGGCTGCAAAGAGTCAGACACGACTGAGCGACTGGGGACTTGAGGGCTGGTACAGTCCACCTTTCAGGTCTCGTGCCAGGACTCCACGTCGCCTGCTTCAGGGAACACAGGGAACACACAGGGAACACACACTTCAGGGAACACACCCAACACTGTCTTGTACATGAAGGGTTCCAACTCCCGTGTGCCACGACCAGGCTTCACAGCTGCATGAGGCCATCGGGCTAGTCCTCTGAGCGTTTCATAATTCAGTATCACTCCTACTAGAGTGCAAGCTGTCTGAGAACAGGTATGATGCGTCTTTTTCACTGCTGTGTTCGTTGCTATATTCTCACTGCTGCATTTAGTAGCATCAGTGAGTAGTCAAGGGCTTCCCTGGTGGCTCAGATGGTAAAGAGTCTGCCTGCCATGCAGGAGACCCAGGTTCAATCCCTGGGTCGGGAAGATCCCCTGGAGAAGGGAGTGGTGACCCACTCCAATATTCTTTCCTGGATAATTCCAAAGACAGAGGAGCCCGCCGGATTACAGCCCATGGGCTTGCAAAGAGTTGGACACGACTGAGTGACTGACACTGTGCCTTTCATGAGTGTTCAGATAACTTTTGTTGAGCCAGTGACTAGGTGGTTATATACGGACTTGATCAGAACATGTTGGAGGATTTCCAAACCAACATCCCCTCCGTCTGCGAGAATGGGGAAGTTTTAGCAAACATCCCTGGCAAAATAGGAAAAGATTGTGAGCTAGAGCACTATGTCAGTTTGAAATGTAGCTTCCTGTAAGTAGCAGAAACTCCAACAAACCTAAAGACCTTCAGGTTTATCTGTCTCATACAACATAAACGTGGGTACCATTCGGCACCTCACAACAGACCATCAGGATACACAAAGCAACAGCACATGGAATCGAAGGGAGACATAGTGTTCTACAATAATAGCTGGAGCCTTCAATATCCCACTCTCAGTATGGACAGAACGACCAGACAGAAGATAAGTAAGGAAATAGAGAGCTTAACAACACAGTAAATTAACTAGATCTCACAGACATAAGCAAAACACTTCAACCCAACACACATATTCTTCTCAAGTGCACATGGGACATTTTCCAGGATAGACCAAATATGAGGCCACAAACTAGGTCTTAATAGATTTCAAAAGATAGACATCATACAAAGTTTCTTCTCTGACCAGAACAAGTTGACATTAGAAATAAATAACAAAAGTTAAACTGGATTCTCTTCATTGTTTTTTGATAGCATTTTATTCACATTGAGATGGGGAGGAGCCATGTCTGATGGTTGGTCCAGTTCATATTGTAAAGGCATTACTCAAGGCTTAAAAAGCTTTTTTTTTCTTACAAGATATTATGTGGTACTATAAAATGGAATTTAAAAAACTAATTGACACTGATTATGTAACCAATCAATTTGAGTTTATTCATCTTTCAATAAATACTCAAAAAGGGAAAAAAGTAAAAGTGGAAAATTCACAAACTTGTGGAAATGAAACAGCACGCTCATACACAACCAATGGATCAAAGAAGAAATCATAAAGGGAACTAGGAAACACTTAAGATGAATGGAAGCATAAACACCATCTACAAAAACTTATGGAACACAACGGAAACAGTACTAAGTGGGATATTTAAATGCTTACATTAAAAATAAGGGCAAAGATCTCAAATAAGAAAACCTAACTTTACAACTTTAGGAGTTAGAAAAAGAAGGATAAACCCAAAGCCAGCCTAAAAAGTTAGCTTCAGTTCAGTTCAGTTCAGTCGCTCAGTCGAGTCCAACTCTTTGTGACCCCATGAACCCCAGGCCTACCTGTCCATCACCAACTCCCGAAGTTTACTCAAACTCATGCCCATCGAGTCGGTGATGCCATCCAGCCATCTCATCCTCTGTCGTCCCCTTCTTCTCCTGCCCCCAATCCCTCCCAGCATCAGGGTCTTTTCCAATGAGTCAACTCTCCAAATCAGGTGGCCAAAGTATTGGAGTTTCAGCTTCAGCATCAGTCCTTCCAATGAGCACGCAGGACTGATCTCCTTTAGGATGGACTGGTTAGATCTCCTTGCAGTCCAAGGGACTCTCAAGAGTCTTCTCCAACACCACAGTTCAAAAGCATCACTTTTTCGGCACTCAGCTTTCTTCACAGTCCAACTCTCACATCCATACATGACCACTGGAAAAACCATAGCCTTGATTAGACGGACTTTTGTTGGCAAAGTAATATCTCTGCTTTTTAATATGCTATCTAGGTTGGTCATAACTTTCCTTCCAAGGAGTAAGGGTCTTTTAATTTCATGGCTGCAGTCACCATCTGCAGTGATTTTGGAGCCCAAGAAAATAAGTCTGACACTGTTTCTACTGTCTCCCTATCTATTTCCCATGAGGTGATGGGACCAGATGCCTTGATCTTCGTTTTCTAAATGTTGAGCTTTAAGCCAACTTTTTCACTCTCCTCTTTCACTTTCATCAAGAGGTTCTTTAGTTCTTCGCTTTCTGCCATAAGGGTGGTGTCATCTGCATATCTGAGGTTATTTATATTTCTCCCGGCAATCTTGATTCCAGCTTGTGCTTCTTCCAGCCCAGCATTTCTCATGATGTACTCTGCATATAAGTTAAATAAGCAGAGTGACAATATACAGCCTTGACATACTCCTTTTCCTATTTGGAACCAGTCTGTTGTTCCATGTCTAGTTCTAACTGTTGTTTCCTGACCTGCATACAGGTTTCTCAAGAGACAGGTCAGGTGGTCTAGTATTCCCATCTCTTTCAGAATTTTCCACAGTTTATTGTGATCCACACAGTCAAAGGCTTTGGCATAGTCAATAAAGCAGAAATAGATGTTTTTCTGGAATCCTCTTGCTTTTTCGATGACCCAGCGGATATTGGCAATTTGATCTCTGCCTTTTCTAAAACCAGCTTGAACATCTGGAAGTTTTCGGTTCACATATTGCTGAAGCATGGCTTGGAGAATTTTGAGCATTACTTTACTAGCGTGTGAGATGAGTGCAATTGTGTGGTAGTTTGAGCACTCTTTGGGATTGCCTTTCTTAGCTAAAAGTTAGCTAGTCAGACCTATAGCTATTAAACTCTTAGAATAAAGCATAGGACAAAATCTTCAGAACCTCAGATTTGACAATGATTTCTTGAATATGACCTAAACGGCACAAGCAGCAGCAACAAAAAAATGGACAAATTAAACTTCATGAAATGTCGAAATTTTTGTCCTCAAAAGACACCTTCAACAGAGTAAAAATTTGACCCACAAAATGAGAGAAAATATTTGCAAATTATATACCTGATAAGACTGGATATCCAGAATACACAGACAACTCAACAACAACAAAGAAATCAATTTGAAAATGGGCAAAAGGACTGAATAGACCTGTCTTCAGTGAAGATAGACAAATGGCCAATAAACACGTGAGAAGTGCTCAACATCACTAATCACTGGGGAAATGCAAAATTGCAATGAGATACCACCTCCCATGGATTAGGTTCGCTACTAAAAAAAAAAAAAAACAAAGAAAAAGTGTTGGAAAGGATATGAAGAAACTGCAGACCCGTGGTGGGAATGTAGCATGGTACAGCTACTGCCGGTTATAGTAGAGCAGTTCCTCAAAAATTAAAAATAGGTTATCATATGATTCAGAAATTCCTCTTTGGGTATACACCCAAAAGAATTGAAGGCAGAGTCTCCAAGAGATACTTGTACACCAAGTTCATAACTTGGATTCTTCACAAGAGCTAAAATATAGAAGCATTCTATTGACAGGTGAATGGATGGATAAGCATGATAGGATATATACATCAATGAAATATTATTCGGCTTCAAAAGAAAGGACTTTTAATACAATTTTGCAGACATACAGCTGCAAAGTTTAAATAATTTTTTTCTTCTCTCTTAGGATAATTTCCATGTTATTAATATCTCTTAGATTAACAATAATGCCAAGAGTCCAGAGAAGTGAGCCACTCGTTCTGGAGCTGTGGGCAAGTCTCTCCTTTCTCTGGGTCTTGGTCTCCTTGTCTGTAAGAAGAGAAGGACTCAGTCTTCAATGCCTTTGTGTTCTCCTGGCTCTTCACCAGTTCCCACTTCCCAGCAACCCCAGACATTTCCGTGGGGCTGTGGTTTACAAAGCTATTTGTAGGCACCATACCGCAGGAATTACACCTTTGCCTGGAGCCACCTGGAGCTGGGATGAAGCAGAGAAGAGAGGAAAGAGATGTCGAGAGCCAGTGGGATGGGAGGTTTCCCATGGGACCATCCAGAACCGCATACCCGCACATCCTCAGTGAAGCCAGCCTGGCTGATGGCGCAAGATGGGCAGCCTTGGGGAGCCCAGCTGCCTTGCCAGTCACCATCAAGGGAAGCAGGTGGAGGGAGGTTCGTGGGTGAAGGCCGAGCCCTGGGCCTCCTGTGACCCGCAGAGTCCTCCAGTTGGTAAGGCTGGAAACACGAGCTTATGTCTTCTTAATCACGCTGTACACTGGTGTCTCGGAGGGAATCCTGCAGGCCTTGGAATCCTGGCTCTGGGAGTCAAACACTACCGAGGTGTAGTGAAGGTTGTCGCTGGGCGGGCCCTGCAGAGACAGAGACCAGAGGCTCAGGGAGAGGCCGGGGAAGTGGGAATCCCAGATTAGGGAGGAGACATCAGAGGGGCGACCTGAGGGAGGCTCCACCATTCCCCACTGTCCTGGCCACTTTCTCTTGCAAAGGCGGGTCTCCAAAATCCTGCCCACCCACCTGCTCCGCCCCCGCCTGATGGAGATGAGATGTGCCAGCCCTGGACCCTTTGCTGCAGGGCTTGCACCTGGACAAACATCTCCTTGAGCAACAAAATCCAAAGAAACTCTAAGGGACTAAACACAACTGCGTGTGTGCACTGCTGCTGCTGCTGCTAAGTCACATCAGTCGTGTCCGACTCTGTGCGACCCCATAGACGGCAGCCCATCAGGCTCCCCCGTCCCTGGGATTCTCCAGGCAAGAACACTGGAATGGGTTGCCGTTTCCTTCTCCAATGCATGAAAGTGAAAAGTGAAAGTGAAGTCACTCCGTCGTGTCCGACTCTCAGCGACCCCATGGACTGCAACCCACCAGGTTCCTCCATCCATGGGATTTTCCAGGCAAGAGCACTGGAGTGGATTGCCATTGCCTTCTCCTGCATGCATGTACAGTTGGGGCATATTCTGGACTAGAGATACAAAGATACCAAGAACCCCAACTGCTGCTTTTGAGGAGCAAAAACAGGGTACTGCGCATGCCCCCTGCATAGAACACCACCCAAGAGGTGGGCAAAACACCTAAGCCACCTTTCTAGCCCCACCCCTGGACACACCCCTACCCTCACTTCATCTAAGGAACCACCGGCCCCCACACCCCTTGGGGAGCAAGCAAGGAAAACTGCTGCTTGTTCTCGCTCCCTCCTGCTCCCTCCTGCTGCAGCAGTGGCCCCGGCAGAGCCTTGCCTGAATGTCTTGTCTGGCCTCTGATCAATTTCTATTGATTGGGGGAAGGCCAGGAGCCCTGATCACTTTCACAGACACAGCACAAAGTCCAAGCATCAGAACTGGGGGAGTGCCTGGGATCTGCTTTGAGGTCATTAGTCACCAAGTTAGAAAAGCTAGGATGTTGCTAGTCCCAGGGCCATGTGCCTGATGCTTAAACCTCCATCTCATCTTCTCTGACAACAAATCCCTCAACTTCTGCCTAAATTCTTCCACTTAAGGGTGAGTTATGACCCTGCATGGGGTGGGGATGGGAGGCAACCTCTTCCATTATTCCACTTTTCAATGCTGTGCCTACGGCTTGACACACAAGGGCTCATTGGTAAAAATCTAAAAAGCAGAATTCATACCAAAGAGATGGTGGCACTGAAACAGTGAAAAACCATCGGCTTTAGCATTGGGTGTATGGTACATGCGTGTGCATGCCTGCTAAGTTGGGTGTATGGTACATGTGTGTGTGTGCCTGCTAAGTTGGGTGTATGGAACATGGGTGTGCATGCCTGTTAAGTTGCTTCAGTTGTGTCCAACTCTGTGTGACATGGACTGTAGCCCGCCAGACTCCTCTGTCCATGGGATTCTGCAGGCAAGAACACTGGAGTAGGTTGCCATGCCCTCCTCCAGGAGATCTTCCCACCCCAGGGATGGAACCTGTGTCTCTTATGTCTCCAGCATTGGCAGGCGGGTTCTTTACCACTAGCGCCACCAGGGAAGTCCATACAGTACATGAAAGTGAAGTGAAGTCGCTCAGTCATGTCCGACTCTTTGCAACCCCATGGACTGTAGCCCACCAGGCTCCTCTGTCCATCCATGGGATTTTCCAGGCAAGAGTACTGGAATGGGTTGCCATTTCCTTCTCCAGCAGATCTTCCCGACCCAGGGATAAAACCCAGGTCTCCCGCATTGTAGGCAGATTCTTTTATCGCCTGAGCCACCAGGGAAGTCCATATGGTACATTCAGCTCAGCTCAGTTCAGTTCAGTTCAGTCGCTCAGTCGAGTCCGACTCTTTGTGACCCCATGAACCGCAGCACACCAGGCCTTCCTGTCCATCACCAACTCCCGGAGTTTACTCAAACACATGTCCATGAGTCGGTGATGCCATCCAGCCATCTCATCCTCTGTCGTCCCCTTCTCCTCCTGCCCCCAATCCCTCCCAGCATCAGGGTCTTTTCCAATGAGTCAACTCTTCGCATTAGGTGGCCAAAGTATTGGAGTTTCAGCTTCAGCATCAGTCCTTCCAATGAACGCCCAGGACTGATCTCCTTTAGGATGGACTGGTTGGATCTCGTTGCAGTCCGAGGGACTCTCAAGAGTCTTCTCCACCACCACAGTTCAAAAGCATCAATTCTTCGGCGCTCAGCTTTCTTCACAGTCCAACTCTCACATCCATACATGACCACTGGAAAAACCATAGCCTTGACTAGACAGACTTTTGTTGGCAAAGTAATGTCTCTGCTTTTTAATAGGCTGTCTAGGTTGGTCATAACTTTCCTTCCAAGGAGTAAGCATCTTTTAATTTCATGACTTCAATTACCATCTGCAGTGATTTTGGAGCCCCCAAAAATAAAGTCTGGCACTGGTTCCACTGTTTCCCCATCTACTTCCCATGAAGTGATGGGACCAGGTGCCATGATCTTAGTTTTCTGAACGTTGAGCTTTAAGCCAATTTTTTCACTCTCCTCTTTCACTTTCATCAAGAGGCTTTTTAGTTCCTCTTCACTTTCTGCCATAAGGGTGGTGTCATCTGCATATCTGAGGTTATTGATATTTCTCCCAGCAACCATGATTCCAGCTTGTGCTTCCTCCAGCCCAGCGTTTCTCATGATGTACTCTGCATATAAGTTAAATAAGCAGGGTGACAATATACAGCCTTGACGTACGCCTTTTCCTATTTGGAACCAGTCTGTTGTTCCGTGTCTAGTTCTAACTGTTGCTTCTTGACCTGCATACAGGTTTCTCATAGTAGGTGCTTAATAAATGCTGTGCTTTATTGACTCTTGACTATCCACTGGCCATTCCAAAAGCTCTTCATCTCCCACCCGACCCCTCAGCCACAAGGACACCAAGGTCTGGCGAAATCTACACTTTCTTCATTTTCTTTTCTTTTTTAAGATTTTTTTTGATGTGGACCTTTTTTCAGTCCTTATTGAATTTATTACAGTATTGCTTCTGTTACATGTTTTGGTTTTCTGGTCAAGAGGCATGTGGGATCCTAGCTCCCCAACCAGGGATCAAACCTGCACCCCCTGCATTGGAAGGCCAAGTCTTAGCCACTGGACCGCCAGAGGCGTCCCCAACACTTGACTGGTTTTCTGTGTATCCTCGTTCTGCAGAAGCACAAGGTGACCAATCGAGCCTCTCTCCCCTCCCTGCCTGCCGGACCCCACATGGCGATGCCTCTGCCATGGCCCGCAGCCCCCATGATGGGAGCCGGGCCCTTGCACTCACCACTGTGCTGTATTCCACCTCCACCTGCGTGGGTTGAACGGGCTTTCCTGAAAGGGGCCTCGTCTGCAGCTCCAGATTCGCATAGCAGGGCTCAGTCTGCTCAGCAGCCTGGAGTGGACAGGAGTGCAGGGTTTGGATGGGTGTCCACAGGCCCCTCCACAGTCCAGCCTAGAGAGGCCCGTGTCCCTGCAAGCATCTCCCCTCCCCCTCTATGCTCTGGGTGCCCCAGCCTTCCCATCCTGCCTTCTGCCTCCCCCACTCAGGTCCTCTCTGGGACGTGTTAGAATGGTCAGGTCAACAGCTGGGCTGGAGGACCCTCCCTCCCTCCTCCTCCCCTGGGAGGGAACAGACTGGCCAGAGCTCATGATGACCCAGCGACCAGACCTCCCAGGCGTTGTTCTTCCGGCTCTAGGTGAGCACCTCGCTCTATCCGTGTGGGATCCACGCGGACCTCCACCAGCTAATGGGACAGATCGGGTCCCCAGCATTTCCTGCGCGCCTCCCAGCCACCCGGATGCGCCTCCTGCGGGAACCCTCCTTACCTGACTGCGGCTCTGGGGCGGCTCTGGTTTCTCTCCAGCTAAAGAGGCAAGAGAAGAGGAAGAAGACTGAACCCTAGAACGAGGCAGGATGTGGATCCCTGTGGTCCAGCTGGAGGAGAGCCTTTCCCTAGAGACTTCAGCCCGGGGGACCTATCGCTTCAGGCCAGCAGCACAGTGGGAACTCAAGGGTTTGTTGAGTGGGTGAATTAGTGAATAAGGAAATGAATGAATGAAGAAGCAGGAAGGCTCCAGCTAGGGTAGAGGGGATCAAACAAAGGTGGTTCCCAAAACAGCCACTCATAAAAATGTTCCTCAGGGATTTCCCTGGTGATCCAGTGGTTAAGACTCCACGCTTCCAGGTGAGAGAGATGAGAAAGGAAGGGCACTCATTTAACAGGAAATGTCTGCATGATGAACAAGATCTGGAGATCTCTTTTGCAACAATATAAACACATTTGACACTACCGAACTGTAAACTTAGAAATGGTTAAGATGAAATCCATGGCTGATTCATGTCCATGTATGGCAAAAACCACTACAATATTGTAAAGTAATTAGCCTTCAACTAACAAAAATAAATGAAAAAAAAAAAGAAATTTTACTGATCACAAAAGATAAGAAAAAAAACGGTTAAGATGACAAATTTGACAAGTATTTCTTTTTTTTACCAATTAAAAAAATGCAGTTTTGCAGGCCCCACTGCAGCCGTACTGAATTATCAACATTGGGGATGAAGTCCAGCTGTGTTTTAACAAACCCTAAATTTTTTAAAATAAAATAATAAAAAGGAAGTGACCTTGCAGAGACCTAGAGCATCAAACCATGCAAAGTTTATCTGCGGTGACCTCCTGGCATAGGATCAGCCCCTCCCAGACAGGAAGCCCTGTCCACTCTGAGGAATCCCAGCTCAGGTCCCACAGCCTCTTGTTTATGGCACCTGCAATGTGGTGTCTAAGCGCGGCTCTGCGCTTCCCTGGTGCTTTCACCTGGGGCCCCAGGAGCTGAGGGTGGGGGAGGTGATGCCCACGCACCAGAGCGCCCTTGATCTAGGATCTCCGCCAGGCAGCTCCAGAGCCCACTGGATGCTGCAGGGGGAGACACCGTCCAGCCTCAGGGACAGAGTCCCAAAGTCAGCGGTGAGATTCCCAGAGTCAGGAGACACGAGGTCATGGACGACAGAGGCGTCTGCTGAACCTCACCGGTTGGCTCGACAGGCTGTGCACCAGGGGCTCTGAGGTATGAACACGTGCGTGCCTGCTAAGTCACATCAGTCATGTCCTACTCCGTGTGACGCTGTAGACTGTAGCCTGCCAGGCTCCTCTGTCCATGGAATTTTCTAGGCAAGAATACTGGAGTGGATTGCCATTCCCTTCTCCAGGGGATCTTCCTGACCCAGGGATCCAGCTCGCGTCTCATGTCTCCTGAATTGGCAGGCGGATTCTTTACCACTAGCGCCACTTGAGATATGGACATATTTTGTTTCAGATGCTGTGGGCCGGCTCCCTACCATTCTCTGTCTCCTTGACGCAGACAGATTTGACGGGAAGGAGGGAAAAGGCTGGTGAGGAAGAGATGGGAGTCCACCCCAGGAAGGCAGGTGACATGGAGGGAGTTGGGTGGCAGACAGCTGAACAGGGAGCCCGCTGAAGGCGGACCCAGTCTACCCTGGCCACGACGGGGTCCTCAAGCGCCCAGCACAGGGTCTGGCGCACAGTAGGTGCTCAGGACAGCTTTGCTGTGTGATCAAGTGCATGAATAAGTGAATGACAAGAGTGGGCTCAGGGGAGGAACCACGAGTGATCACAGAGCAGGGGTCAGGCTGGGGCCAGCAGGGCCTCCAGGGGTCACTAACCCTAAGCTTAACCTCAGAGGCAGCCAGGAGACAGGCGCTGAGATGCCAAGCAGCGGAGAGCCAGAGGCTACGTGAACACAAAGCCTTTCTCCCGTTAAACAAAGATCCCTTGACGAGGTGTAACCCACCCACACAAGTCAACTCTGCACTCAAGGGATTTGGAGAAGATTATTAGCAGGGAAAATAAGGTTGAAAAGTGGAATTACGGGACTTCCCTGGTGGTCCAGTGGTTAGGAATCCAGCTGCCAATGCAGGGGACACAGACGTGTTCGATCCCTAGTCCTGGAAGATCCCACATGTCGCTGGGCAACTGAGCTGACCTGCCACAGCTACTGAGCCCGCGTTCTCCAACCAGAGAAACCGCCACAGCCAGACGCCCTTGCACCGCCGCGAGAGAAAGCCAGCATGCAGCAACGAAGACCCAGCACAACCAAAAAGAAGTCAACAAAAACATATTTTTAGTTAAAAAAATGAAAGTGAAATTACATATGGAGCAAACATTTTAAGGAGTCAGATTTGTAAGAGACCATAAGGATGTGACTCAGCTGTCTGTGGCTGGTTTTCTCTCGGCGGTGCAAGTTCTTCTTTTTATTTATTAGGGTGAATTTCTTTCCTTCTCTGTGTTTTACTTCTTTTTCCCATTTTCTACAGCAATCACACACCCCGTTTTTAAAGGGGAGGGGCGCTTTTTAGGTGGAAGGGCACCCTGGAGATTGCTGGGACCCACAGATCTGAGGCAACCCAGGCTGGGAAAACACCCATGTGGTAAGCAATATGGGCTAAAGTTTCAGGAGATGGTTCCCAGAAGCGATATGGGAACAGCAGATGGGGAAGAGGAGTGGTTTTCTTTCCATCCATCAAGCATACGTATGTTGAGGCTGATTTCGCGGCTACAGGCCTGAGATGTGCTGGAGGGAGGGGCTGGGCCCCACGGGGATGCTGGAGGTGAACGAGTCAGGCGGGGTCCCCCCTTTTGCTCCCAGGAAGAACCACCACCGCCCAGTCTAGCACTGCAGGTGTGGAGCAGAGCCACCAGGGTTTCATTGCAGCCCTGAAAGGCTCAGGATCGGTAATTTTGAACAAGCATCCCCTCTGCCCAGGTACTCTGCGCAAATGGAATTAAGAACTTAGTCCAGGAAGGAACCCTGAGGCTCACACCCACTTCAGCAGAAAGCTGCTCTCCTATAGGAGTCAAGTACAAACCGGCACTCACCCTGGGCGCCTGCCATCCACCTCTGTAAGGATCAAATCAGGTGCTGATGCAGCTGCTGACCTTCAACACCCCTTGAAAGGAGTTCAGGGTGGAGAGCAGGAATGAGGCACCCGCGTGCCAGGAAAACGGGCAGGACTGGTCTTCAGATAGTCAGATATTCTCAGGAGCTGATTTTTATGAGCCCAGTCCTTGCCTCTCCCCATATCTAGAAAAGCACGAACGTCCTTCATGGTGACAACTGTTCCCTGTGACTAGCAGAAGCTTCTCGAGACTAATAGAAACCTTCTGGAAAAACGTGTGCTTGATTGCATGTGTTCCTCACCCTTCACCAAAATCACTGATACGCTGACCTTTCCCCGCCTCCTGAATCTTTGGAGCAGTTTCTCAAAGCTATCTAAGGTGCTGTCTCCCGGGCTGCAGTCCCCAGATAAAACCTAGCTCGCAACTCTCATGCCCACCAGCAAGAAGGTCACAGGGTCACTGGTTTCTCTGTTCTCCTATATATTTAATTTGCTCAAGTGTTTACTGAGCCTCTACTTACTGAGGACCAGACAGGATGCTGGGGGTGTCTTATTTTCTCTCTTTTAATCTGAGCTCAGAGGAGAGCGGCTGGACCACAGGCTGCCTAGAGCTCCCTGGGCCCCACTGTGATGACACTAAATAATATTAAATAATACTTTCACTCAGCACACCCTGCTCCTGTGTCTCCTTGGGTAAGGGTCTCTGATCTTAACTTGCCGCATGGGCTGGTAGGCAGGCAGCCTAGGAAGCAGGTGTGACAGACTGGTGGGACAAGGGCTTTGATGGCGGAAGAACAGAGGTTCACCTGGAAGCGGTCCCCGAGCTGCTCTTTGGGGGCCAGGAAGAGGTCCTAGAGGAAAGGAAGCTGAGAGCAGAATGTAGGGCCGCAGGAGTGAGCCGGCGAAGGGCAGGACAGGCCCCCCCAGGTGCCCAGAGCAAGCGCAGAGGAAGCTGAGAAACCGCTGCCTTGCAGAGTGTAAGGATGGGCAGACTGCCAAGGGCCTTGACCGTGCTGGGCAGGCCTGGACTTTGGAGGCTGTAGGAAGTCACGGAAGCGTTTAGACGGAAGAGGGACTCTGCTTCACGAGCAGCCACCCCGACCCTGCCATGGGAAAGGCCTCTTGCCTTAAAGTCACCTCCTCTCAGCCACACCAGGGACACTCCCTCCGGGGCCAGCCCTCTGGGGTCTCCCGGGCCATGTAGTCCCAGGGGAGATACAGTTGATGACCCTCCTGGAAACCCAGACACATTTCCTCTAGGACCGGAGGGGCCGGCCCGCCCTTGGATGCCGTGAGGGCGGGTGTGGGGAGCTCACTCACCTTTGACCCGTCTCTGAACCATCCTCCAGGCCAGCAGGGAGACGCCCCCCAACAGGAGCAGCAGAAGCACTAATGAGATCAGCAGCGCGTGGAGCCTGAGGGGAGACAGGGTGGGCTGGGTGGGGCAGGGGTTCCTGCCTTCCCTCGCTTGTTCAGTAGATGAGCTCCCACTAAAAAAAAGGCAGACAGCGTAAAGCCTCCTTTTCATCCCCTGTCTACCTAAATCCCCCCACAGACACACACGATGCACCTAAGAAACTTCCAGAGCCTCTTTATTCAATACAAGAACATACGAATATACATTATTTTTGTGTATGTCCTTTTTTCACTTAAAAGAGGCATACATGTAAAAAAAAAAAAAAAAAGATACACTATGGTTGTGATAAAAAATAAATAAATAAATAAATAAATAAATAAAAACAAAAAAAAAAAAAAAAGAGGCATAGTATAAACCATGGGTCCCCAACCCCTGGGCCATGGACCAGTACCCATCAGAGGACTGTTAAGAACCTGGCCACACAACAGGAGGTGAGCACCTCCCCATTCACCGGCACCCCACATCTCTCTTATTACTGCCTGAACCATCCACCCCCATCCCCATCTGTGGAAAAGCTGTCTTCCACAAAACTGGTCCCTGGTGCCAAAAATTCTGGAGACTGCTCTTATAAACACTGCTGTTCAGCTGCTCAGCTGTGTCTGACTCTTTGCGACTCCATGGACTGCAGCACACCAGGCTTCCCAGTCTTTCACCATCTCCTGGAGCTTGCTCAAACTCAAGTCCATTGAGTTGGTGATAAACACTAGTTTTTTACTTCACAATGCATCTTGAAGATCTTTCCATGTCACTACATAGAGAAGTTCCCTATGGGTTTTTCTTTTCATAGTTGCATAGTATTCCATTTCTTGGACAGACCTTACGTTATTTAACTCTTCCCTTTCCGTGGGCATTTCTCCCAGTATTTTGCAATTACAAGCTGGCTGCAAAAACATCACCTTGAAACTCTACCAGTTCACTTGGACAGCAGCAGCTGCTTTCCTGGGGAACTGACACAACTCCGCTGCTTGGGCTCCTTCTTTTATATCTAACTTGCATCCATGATGTTCTAGTCTTTTTTCTTAAAGATGCACCTCACCCCCTGCAAATTGCACAGGCTTCAGTTATACAAAACCCAGCTCTGGGGCTTCCCTGGTGGCTCAGTGGTGAAGAATCCACCTGCCAATGCAGGGTTCGGTCCCTGGCCCAGGAAGCTCCCACATGCTGCGGAGGGAGTAAGCCGGGCTCCGCAACCACCGAGCCTGTGCTCCAGAGCCTGTGCTCCATGACTGGAGAAGCCGCTACAGTGAGAAGCCGAGCGCAGAGACTAGAGAGTGAGCGCCACTCTCTGCAACTAGAGAAAAGCCTGTGCAGCAACAAAGACCCAGCACAGAAAAAAATAAATAAACAGACAAGCAAAATTATTGTTTAAAAAGCCCAGCTCCATTCCCCAGGCGTGCATCTGCAGATCGTTTCTGGAGGTGGCATGTTTGGGGCCTGAATCTCACCTTGCCTGATATAAAGATTGTCCCCTGGATTGTCAGGAAGCCAGTGGAGGGGTCTTGGGCTGTCGGATAATAAAGAATCTGACTGGCCTTTGCCTCTGGCTCCTGGAAGGGAGGCTCTAAATCCTTGGGGTTTGCCTAATGATAGGAGCACCTTTGTGATTCACAAGCCCCTTGGATCTGCCTGAGATTTTGCCTGACTCAGGCTGGGAGCTGGTCACCAGAAGGACCAGCCATGTGATGAGAGATGTGGGGCTCTGAGCCAGCCTGACCTTCAGGGAGGTGGAAAGGGATGTTGGGGGTTGAGATCAGTCATGTGGGCAATGATTCAATTAGTCATGTCTGTGCAATGAAACCCAAGTAAAAACTACGGACACCAAGACTTGGAACTTCCTGGTTGGTGAACACATCAAAGTCCCGGGAGGGTGATGCCCCCAACTCCACTGGGAAAAGGCACAGAAACTGCAGTCAGGACCCTTCCAGACCTTGCCCTACGTGCCCCTTCACTGACTGGTCCTGACCTTTATGCGTGCGTGCTGAGTCATTTCAGTCATGTCTGACTCTTCGAAACCCCATGGGCCGTAGCCTGAAGCCATAGGCTGGACCCCATGGACTGTAGCCTTCATGGTTAGGCTCATCTGCCCATGGGGATTCTCCAGGCAAGAATATTGGAGTGGGTTGCCATGCCCTCCTTCAGGGGATCTTCCCAACCCAGGGAACAAACCCAGGTCTCTTATGTCTCCTGCATTGGCAGGTGAGTTCTTTATCACTAGTGCCTCCTGGGAAGTGCCCTGACATTTATACTTTGTGATAAAACTATATGTATAGCACTTCTCTACATTCTGTGAATTACCTGAGCAGTTATCAAACCCAAGGGGGTCATGCATCCAACTGATCATAAATGTGATGATCTGAGCATCCCCCAAGTGCTCTGGCATCTGAAATCGGGCCGTCTCATAAGACCGAGCCTCACGAGTCTCACAGGATGCTGGAGTCTGTGCTGACTCGCAGGTGGTCAGTTCTGGAATCGACTTGCAGGGCACCAGGTGGTGTCAGAACAGGGAGTCTTGGGCTTCCCTGGTGGTCCAGTGGTTAAGAATCTGCCAGACAATGCAGGGGACACAGGTTCGATCCCTGGTCCAGGAAGATCACACATGCCACAGGGCAACTAAGCCCTTGCACCACAACTCAGGAGGCGCTGGTGGTAAAGAACCTGCCTGCCAACGCAGAAGACAAGAGAGACGCAGTTTCAATCCCTGGGTAGGGAAGATTCCCTGGAGAAGGGCATGGCCACCCACTCCAGTATTCTTGCCTGGAGAATCCCATGGACAGAGGAGCCTGGTGGGCTGCAGTCCATGGGTTTGGAAAGAGTTGGACACGACTGAGCAGCTAACATACACCGCAACTGCTGAGCTTAGGCTCTAGAGCCCACGCTCTGCAAGAAGAGAAGCCACTACAATGAGAAGCTCTTGCGCCAGAACTAGAGAGTAGCCTCCACTTACTGCAACTAGAGAAAGCCCCAGTGCAGCAATGAAGACCCAGCGCAGCCAAAAATAAAAACTGATTACTTTTAAAACAGAAAAGGGAGTCTGTGAATCCCAGAAATGGCTTCAGACAATATGCATATTTCCAGGGAGAGAAACCATAAATGTCGTCAAATTCTCCTGGGGTTTTTTCCCTCCCCCTGCCAAATAAAAGTCGAGAATCACATATTTGGAAGAAAGAATCTAAAACTTCAGAATCATATAAACTAGGCCCAGGAGCCAGCCTGACTCTGTGACTATATTACCCTGTTGGTCACTTAACCTCTCAGAGCCTCCGTTTACTCATCCGTAAACGGAGGGTCATGGTGGTGAAGGATTGTAGGGAGATGATAACATCCAGGTGAGGCTCTGAGCACGCGCCTGGTAGGACATCATCTCACCAGCTCTCATTAAATGTCGCTTTCCCTCCATCCACCCCCAGCTTCTGCCTGGCCTGAGCCATCTCAGAGCCCGGGGCAGGTCCAATGTGGCCCCTACAGCCCAAGCTAGGAGACGCAGACCGGCTTCCAGCCTGGGTGCAAAGGGAGCCAGAGGCCCCAGTCAACGGGGACAGGGCTCCTGACCAAATAGACCCCAAGGCAGAGGAGGCCCGCTTCCAGGACTTGGGCTGGGCACCTCACCTCCAGCTCTGCGTGGGCTCCTGTTCCTCCTGTGGGCTGCTGGTGCTGTGGGTGGCACCCTTTGTGGCCAGGGTGGTGAATGACACAGTTGAAACTTTGGTTGTGATTGTCGAGGTCTTGGCTGTGACAGCAGGTCGGGTTGACCTTGGTGTTGGTGATGCTGATGGTGCTGAAATACAAATCAGACTCAGGGAGCCCCTCTGACTTTCCCACGACAACCCTCTCCGATACCTTTCTCGGTTGATTTCACTCAGGAAGGGGGCAGAATGGAGGACCCCGCAGCCAGGACCCTCCTGGGGCCAAGTGAGCGTTTCCAAACAGGACACGGGTATCACCCCCAACAGCCCTGATCCCATCCCCATGATGAGGTCAGGGTCCTCCGGAGGCCCCGGAGTCACCCTCACCCCCAATCTTCACCCCCCCACACCACCAAGTCACAGCCACATGTGGCTTGCCAGAGACGGCTGCCCAGACTGCAGGTCTTGTTAGACCTGCTTGTTAGAGCTCCCACTGTGTTCAGCACCTTCGCCCCGCCCGCCGCCTCTCCACTCAGCTCCCCACCTTCCCCCGCACAGCTTCCCGGGTTTCCGTGGGGAGGCCCACGGCGCCCTCCTCTCTCAGCTGCACACCCCGCCTCTCCGCCTCCCCTTCCCCGACAAGCACCTTCTCATCGCTCAAGACTGAGGGACGTGCCAGCGCCCTGTCTCTGTCTCACACACAGATACACACAATATACATACACCTACACACACATACACATGCACGTGTGCACGCACACAGAGTTTGCTCTCTGATGTGATTTCTGCCTTGCAATTCCAACCTGAGACTGTTCAGGTGACCTTGTTGCTGCTACAGGGGGAGTTAGAGCTGTGCATGGCTCACCTTGAGTCACAGACACCTTCACCTCTAAGGTGGGGTCCCATGAAAGTGACACAGCGATCCCACATCCATATGTTCCCGCATCCTCCTCTCTGAGGCTCTCCAAGGTCACTGTGAAGGTGAGGTTTGCAGGATGGTCTCTGATGGACACGCGGCCCTTCCTCACTTCTCTGTCAGACCCTCCAGTCTCCACAGTATTCCACAAACAGGGGGATTTGCACCAGAATTTGCTGTTTTTCTTGAATTTCTCCTGGTACCGACACTCCACGCTCAGGGATCCCCCCACAATGCCCGTCACATTGCTGGGGCCGCTCAGGGACAAACAGCCTGGAAAACACAACCGAGTCCAACTCCATCAGGTGGGCCTGGGTCAGGACGCTCTGGGAGTCACCCCCAAAAGTTCCCCCATCTCACGCTAGCTGCCCCACGTCAGCCTGAAAACACCTTGAGAGTCTGCCCTTTCCACTCTGTCACCCCTAAGACCACAGCCGCACTTTCCTCCAGACCCCAACTTTCTTTCCTCTGCCCTTCCAACCTCTCACCCACCAGGGAACTCCCACTTCCCAGCTTGTCAGGATGCCCCCAGCCCGGAGCAGCTCAGTCACCTGAAGAACCGCTCATAGGCTGATGTGTTCCCACCAAGAGGGTGTGGACCGAGGCAGAGAGAGGTCTGCCAGATGGTTCACAGAAGCACCGGCCACGCTTGGCAAATTTCATGCATGAAAAATCATCCACACACACACAGAGTTTACTGACAGCCTTCATCGCATCCTGGGCCTTACTTCAGCTTGCCCAGCTCCTGTTGACTTAATTTTCAAGGAAGCTCCTGTTTTATTTCTGAGATTGGGGTCTGCCATTGTCCCAGACAGTCCTCCGCTACAGAGCTGGGGGACAAAGGTGAGGCGTGTGACATTAATGCTGGCCACCAAGCCGAGGACACGCACCCCCCACCCTGGCCCCAGTGGATACCGCTCCTCACCAGCCCTGTTATTCTGTGACGGGGCCCCCACAGTGGTGGGAGTTGTGGCTTGCTGTCTTTTGTTAGAGTTAGATGTCTTTAATTTGACTTGGCTTTTCAGGCTCTTAAATCACTTGAAGACACTCGAATGTAAGCTCCTGGGGCCTTCTTGTATCTTAAAGGTCTACACGTGTCCAGCACATAGTAGGCCCTCAGCAAATACGTGGGTGTGAGCACCTCCCCCAGCTCACACAGCTCTCTGTTCAAAGCTACACAAAGCTGACCACAATCTCCCATCCTCCCGCTCCTGGGAGCCCATCAGGGGGTCCTATTCTGGCATGGGTGGTAGATGCCCTGAAGAGAAGCCTTCTCCAGCCCCATCACGGGTGTGATGTTTCCTGTGGTGCTCCGTAGCCAGGGCCACGGTGACGTGGAAAGGGCATCAGAAGAATCTGAGTCTTAGTCTCAGTTCAATGACAAGTCTGCTGTGTGTTCTGGGACAAGTTACTTAACCTCTCTGAGCTTCAGAGGCCTCATTGTTAACGTGGTGATGATTGGTAAGCCTCACAGGACATTTGGGAGTATTGAATGAGATAATGGGCATCAAATGCCTGGAGAATAATATCAGGTTGAACCACATGAAGTTGCTGGTATTCCTGTGTTTCTGACCAAGAAAACCGACATTTCAGGAAATTCAGTCTAATGAAAATAGATAACCCTCTGTCCACCTGAATTAAGACATGAAAGTAAAATAATCACAGAGACAGAGAAAATGAAAGTAATAAAAAATGGCCCTTTGCGGAAATTCTGTACAGAGAATTCCCTGGAGGTCCAGTGCTAAGGACTCCGCTTTTTCATGTTGGGGGTCCAGGTTCAATCCTTCCTCAGAGAACTAAGATCCCACTAGCCATGCAGTGTAGCCAAAAAAAGAAAAAAGACATCCTCTACAGAGAAGTGTGTAAACCTGGATGAATGTGTGATTTTCTAGAAAACAAAAAATCAGTAAAATCGACACATACTGAGTGCTCAACGGATAAATGTGCCAGCCCTTCCTTAGTTTAAGACGTCGCTCCTGCTGCCCACATCCAGACTCCACGCCCTGTGTCCCGTCGGCTGTGAATCCTCATCTTTCCAGCCTGGCTCTCGGCTCCCCTGCCTGGCCTGGGTCCCCCCCTCGCCTCCCCCCTCGGGGCCCAGCCCTCTGCGTCCGGGGTCTGCCTTCCCCTCGCACTGTGTCTGTCTCCCTCTCCCATGTCTCTCTGTTCCTCTGTCTCTGTCTTTGTCTATCTCTCCTTATCTCTCTCTCTCTGTGTCTGTCCGTCTGTCTTTCTCTCTCTCTCCATCTCTCTCTCTCTCTCTCATCATCTCTCTCTGTCTGTCCCTCTGTCCACGTGCCTATCTCTGTCTGTCTGCCTCTTTATCTGTCTCTGTCTCTTCTAACAGGATGTTCCTCTGTTTTCCTAATGTTTTACTTCAGAATCACAAAATCTCATCCCACTAAATCCCAGACAAACAAGTGACCCATCCAGCACAAGTGGAGAGGAACCGGCGTGTTCACACCCCACCCAGGAGACAGAGGAGACCCAGAGCAGAAGTTAGTGAACCAGGACACAGAAGAACAATGGGACTAGTGTATACGCCAGAAAGCTGATTTTTCATTTGGGAGAAACAAACAACAATAGACATTCTTGTGTGTAACCAGATCAAGAAAACACACACACACACACACACACACATAAACAAGTAAAAAGAAAAATAGGGTAAACCGCAAGCCGCTACAAAAATGTCTGTAGACTTGGACAAAACTGGTGATTTTCTCTTCATTTTTTAAAAAACATTTATTTATTTGTGTAGTTCAGCTGGGTCTTTGTTGCCACACTTGGCATCTTTAGTTGCGGCATGTGGGATCTAGTTCCCTGATCAGGAATCGGACCTGGGCCTCCCGCATTGGGAGCATGGAGTCTTAGCCACTGGACCATCAGGGAAGTCCCCCAGGCTGGTGATTTTCTAGGAAAGTATACATTACCGATATTAATCCAGAATAGATTTTTAAAAAATGTAGACCAGTACCTATAAGTGTCAGCAAGGAGTCCTTTCCCAAAGACAACTATGTGAAGTGATATGGTAATTATTTCACTGTGTGTACATGTATCAAAACATTACTGTAATTGTACACCATATATATATATATATACACAATTTTTACTTGTTAATTATGCCTCAGTAAAACTGGAGAGAAAAGAGAAGAAAGAAGTTCTTTTTTCTTTCTGTTCCAAAAATTGAGGAGCAAAACTCAGTTTCACAAGTTAATTCTCTCAAAACTTTCAAAGACCAAACAATCCCAATTTTATTTAAACATCTACAGAGAATAAGAAAACAGGAAAAACGTCCTAATTCTTATCATACATGCTTAGTCACTCAGCTGTATCCGACTCTTTGTGACCCTATGGACTAAAGCCTGCCAGGCTCCTCTGTCAATAGGATTTTCCAGGCAAGAATGCTGGAGTGGGTAGCCATTCCCTTCTCTCAGGGATCAAACTCAGGTCTCCTGCATTGCAGACAAATTCTTTACCGTCTGAGTCTTCAGAGAAGCCCATTCTTATCATGAAGTCAGTATAATGTATATCAAAGACTAAAATCCGGCCAAATATCTTAATATAATTCACCTCTTGACTAGTTCAAAGGAAAAAAAAACTATAGCCACACAGTGGCAATATTGTGCACTTGGTTCCAGACAACTGTGCATGCTCAGCCACTTCAGTCGCATCTGACCCTCTGTGACCCCCCGGACTGGACCCCACCAGGCTCATCTGTCCGTGGGATTCTCCAGGCAAGAACACTGGAGCGGGCTGCCATTTCCTCCTCCATCCAGACAATCATAGTAAAGCGAATATCACAATAAAAAAAGTCACAAGAAGTTTTTGGTTTCCCAGCACATATAAAAGCTATGTTGGGGACTTCCCTGGTGGTTAAAGGGGAAGACTCTGCTTCAACGCATGGGGTGTGGGTTCAATCCATGGTTGGGGAACTAAGATCCCACATGCTGCACAGCCGAAAGAAAAAAGCGATGCTACGTTATACTCCGGTCTATGAAGTGTGCAACAAATAGCATTACATCTTACAAGCAATTTACATACCTTAATTTAAAAATATTATACTCTATCGCTAAAAAATGCTATGCATCATCTGAGTCTTCAGTGAGTCATAATCTTTTTCTGATGGAGAGTTTGAAATTTTGCAGGAATTACCAAAATGTGACAGAGACACAAGGGGAGGGAATGCTGTTGGAAAAATGGAGCCAATAGACTTGCTCGAAGCAGGGTTACCACAAACATTCAGCTGGGAAAAGGCAGTGTCTGTGAAACTCAGCGAAGCAAAGCACAAGACGAGGTGTGGCTGCAATCATCTCAGGGCTGTACAGAATGCTCATTCGCTCAGTCGTCTCCGACTCTCTGCGACCCCGTGGGCTGCAGGACCCCGATCTCTTCGGTCCATGGGATTCTCCAGGCAAGAATACTGGAGTGGGTTGCCATGCCCTCCTCCAGGGGATCTTCCTAACCTAGGGATCGAACCCAGGTCTCCTACATTGCAGGCGGATTCTTTCCCTGGAGGCTCAGACAGTAAAGAATCATCTAAATAGATCACAAAAAAGCACCTGACTCCTGATGCTGCTGTTTTTAAAAACACAGGCGATGCCCCCTTTACACTAAATGGAAACATTGCACATCTGCCCAGGAAGGGACCAGGCAGGCATGACCACTGCCGCCTCGGTCCTGGGCATCGTGGGACGACCCCGTGTCCAATGAGAGAGGAAACCAGAGAAACAGTGAACCCTCCACCCAGGCAGATCCTGTGAACACACGAGAAACCCCGAGAGGTACAGTAGAAAGATGAGTCATGAGAAGGTGACCAGTTTCTCTGCGGTCAGAAGGAGACGTCTCCTGCCTACACAGGAGACGCAGGAAACACGGGTTTGATCCCCGGGTCAGGAAGATCCCTGGAGGAGGAAATGGCAACCCACTCCAGTATTCTTGTCTGGAGAATCCCCATGGACAGAGGAGCCTGGCGGGCTACAGTCTATGGGGTCCAAAGAGTCAGGCACGACTGAATGAGCACGCAAGGATGAAACTAGCAAGACTGCAGGAGCTGTCTGAGAGCCGCGAATGCTTCTGGAGGCCCAGGAGAGAAATCGTCCCAAGGAAGCCCTCTACTCCAGGGAGCAAGCCTCCTCCTCCCTTCCCTGAAGCTGCTCTGCCCTCCCACCTCCTGTCCCCTCCACCTCGGCTTCCCCGATGGGATGGGAATCCCCACCTCCCTTCCTTGGAGACCACCAGCCCCCTGGTCCTTAGGTTCCGGTCCCTCGAGCCACCCTGGCTATTCATTCACCTCCATGACCCTGAGACCAGGGCCGGCCCCTGCCTTGTCCCCACGCTTCCTCCACCCCCTGGACCCGTGATCCAGAAGGCACCTCCTGTCAACGAGCATGTCCTGGGTGTGCCCGGCGGTCACCCTGCCACCCACTCTGGTATGCCCTGCCTTTTGCCCTCCTTCCTCTAATAATTCATCCCCAAACTTTCGGCAAAGCCCCTCCTCCATGTCCCACTGTGGCTCCTGCAAGCCTAGACAGATGAAGGAGAGATGGACACTCACGCTGCCTTCCAAGGATGGGGTCCATCTTAAGCGGTGGAAGGACCGTGCCCCAGTCTGAGTCACCCTCCCCGCTTCCATCCCCACCCTCCATCCTCCCCATTCTCTCCCCCCTCCCCATCCCCTGGCAGCCCCCACCTGGGACCCAGAGAAGCAGCAGAGCGGGGGGCAGCCACGTAGCCCGGTGCGGCTGGGCCATGGCTCCAGCACTGACGTCGCCTGCAACAGCGCCGGCCCAGCCGGTCCTGAGGTCTCAGTCCCCCTCCAGGAGGACAGTCAGGCCTGCAGGCTCCCACTTCCGCTTTTCTTCAAGCCTTGCTGCTTCCTTGTTCAGCTTCTTTTCGGTTCTGTTCCTGGAGCTGCTGAGAAGACGGGGGTCGCCGAGGAGCAAGCCTACCGGTGGTGCCTGAGACCCCCGGGCCAGGTTCTGTAGGTACTTCCGGTGAGGAGACCCTCCCAAGCCCCCAGCTCACCTCCCCTTCCCTCCCACCCCCAGACCATAGGCTGAAGTTCCCGTCTAGCCCAGCCAGTAGCTCCTTGGTTTCCCTGTGGTCAGGGTGAGAGCCCTGGGGAGAAGCAAGCCCCAGGGTGTGTCCCGCAGCGTGACCGCCCCGGGGAGTGGCCCTTCCACGAGACCCCCGGCTCAAGGCCCGCACCCCCAGGTGGCACCATGACCCCCAGGGTCCCTGAGTGCTCTTTCACCTTGGAAACCTGTCCTCCACTTGGCCAGAAGGTCCTCGGGCTGTGACCTCCCTTCCCAGGCAGCCCCCACCGGACCCAGCCCAGGGCCGAGCACACAGCGGGACTCAGCAAGCCTGTGTGGACCTCTCCTTCCCCTATCCACGTGGAGCTCAGGCTCCAGATATACACACACATGTTCCTTGTGACATGTGCCCCCGGGTTGCACAGAACAGCCTCACGAGCATCGGAAACTACTCCTAACCTGCCACCTGAGAGCTTGTAGATAGTTAACTCTAAATGCCACTACCCTGAGTCCCCTGAATGCCCTTCCCTTCCTGCTCTGCCTATAACATTTCCAGAAATGTATATTTTTCAACCACCAAAGGTCAAGGTCTCGAATGTAAAGGTCAAGAGGCGGGAGGCACTGGCCGGAGAAGAAGCAGGAGGCTGGGTTATGGCTCATCCTCACCACCCTTCATACCACTGGTGTGGCCTTGACCAAAACCCAAAGCTCCTGTAAAATGTCAGTAACAGTAGCTAATTGAAGGGAATAGAATAGTATCATAATTATACAAACACTTGAAGATGAGATAATAGTGTCCTCAAGCCAGTTTTTTTCCCAAGGAAATATATCTTTCATCTAATGAAAGGTAATAGGAAAATAGGATTTTCTTTAATTTATTTTTTGGCCCTGTCGTGCACATGTGGGATCTTTGTTTCCTGACTAAGGATCAAATCCATGTCCCCTATAGTGGAAGCACGGCATCTTCACCACTGGAGAACCAGGGACGTCCCAGAAAAGAGGGTTTGATAGGAAGACATATGCTTTACAAATAGTCTGCCAGATGCGCTTGTCTTTAGAAACCTAGAGAAACACTTAAACTACCCCAAAGAGGAAGTTCTGTTCAGTCGCTCAATCATGTCCGACTCTTTGCAACCCCATGGACTGCAGCACACCAGGCTTCTCTGTCCATCACCAACTCCCAGAGCTTCCCCAAATTCTTGTCCATTGAGTCAGTGATGACATCCAACCGCCTCATCCTCTGTCGTCCCCTTCTCTTCCTGCCAGCAAAGAGGAAAGGCCAGGGCAATTGATCCCCACCACACCCATCCTCTTCACCCTAACCTGCCCACAAACACTAAGCAAGAGACAAATTGATGCAAAATTACCCCATGACATCAGAAAATTAAGAAAGAGGTACTTTCCCCACTGGTCTTCAAAGACTATTAGTGCGTGAGATGTAGGGGAAAATGAAACCAGCCAGCTGCAGGCCTGAGCCCCCTTCCTCCGAGTGGGGGGTGGGGGGGGGGGTCTTGCAATCAGAGAGCCCCTCATCATAGGCTCTGGTGGTCTCTTCCCAGGCTTTTGGATCTTCTTTCCAGTGTGGATGCCTGTGCTCGGAGGCCAGTGGGCAGGAATGATGTAGTGGTGATGGGTAGGGGGTTCCTGGGCAGACCTGCAGCCGTCTGTTGAGCTCTGAGAACCCAGATTTGGGGATGGGGCCCTGCAGAACTTCCCTCCCTGGGGCATCGCAATCTCAGAGCCGCCACCCTCACCCTAGGGAGGTGAGGCTCCCTCAGCCTTGCTTCTTCCTCCTCCTGCCCAGGAAGGAAAGCCAAGGGGGCCTCAGGGAGGGTGTGTTTCATTCATGGCGGGTCAGATGCGGCCCAGAGGCTGATGAGAAGCAGGAAGCGGCTGGTGCCTGTGGTGGGAGGTGAGAAGGAGAGCTTGACATCGGGGCGAGCTGGCAGTGGGGGACGGGGCTGAGGGTGATGCCTCTGATGGCCACTGAGCACCTACTATGTTCCGGAGGTGTGTGTGGTGGTGGGATGCGCCACCGGGGGTCATCACAGCAGGATCCACAGGGCAAGGGGAGGGACTCCGAATGAGGAACAGCCAGGGGAGGGGCGGAAGGGAGGGACAGACGGAGGACTGGGAGCATCTGGTTTCCCTTCAGCCAGAGCCTGGGTGAGACCAGAGTCTGCTGACTCCACAGCTTCCATCTGGAGGGCTGGGAGGGACAGACGGAAGAGTGGGAGGACAGACGGAGGGCCGGGAGGATGGACAGAGGACTGGGAGGATGGACAGGGCCTGGGAGCGGAAGGACGGATGGGGGACCGGGAGGATGGACAGGGGACCGGGAGCAGAAGGAGGGACAGAAGACTGGGAGGACAGATGGAGGACTGGGAGGGACAGACGGAGACCTGGGAGCAGCTGGTTTCCCTCCGGCCAAAGCCTGGGTGAGACCAGCATCTGCTGACTCCATGGTTTCCGCCTGGCCCTGCCAGCGTCCCTGGGGCCGCCACACCTCACTTTCCTACCCTTCTCTAGGAAACTCCCCTCGCGTGACCTGACCCTCCAGGGACCCAGGCGGCTTGACCAGCCCGTGTTCTGGGGCCAACGTCCACGGCCAACGTGAGGGCCGTTAACATGCTCTCCTGCTTGGGTCTGGATGCGCTGTGGTCCAGACCGAGAGAAAGAGGAAGCTGTAGGCGGGCAGACGGATGGGCGACCGTGCCAGCCGAGACCTGAGAGCCCTCACGGCCCCCGAGGGGCCCTCCAGGCTCCCTGTCACGTGCAGAGCCACTGCTCGTGGGGCCTGGCCCCAGGGACACTCTCTCCACCCCGGGGAGGGAGCTGGGGCTGCACCTGGTCCAGCAGGGGCCTGTGGAGCTCACCCGGCACCCACGGTTGGGGTGCGGGTGGTCAGCAGGGGTGGCGTCCACCTGCAGCCGCTCCTGCCCCTCTGTGGTCAAGCGCTCCCCAGGGTCGGACGCGGGGATGGGGCTCCTCGAGCTGGAGGGCTGTAGCTGGCTCTTCACAGACGTTCCTTCATCCTCAGACCCCCCCACCACCATGCCTGTCACTCACTCTCTCCCAGCCAGGCTCAGCCGTCTGCTCAGAAGACCCCCTCCTTCTCCCGGACCCTCTGAGCCCCGCAATGCCTCTTTCCGATGAGATCACCTCCGCCCAGGTGTCACTGCGTGCCTCCGTTTCATGGAAAGGCTGGAAGATCTCACAAAAGCAGGGACCACCAGCAGCTCCAGGCTTACACACACGCGCCCCATCTCCGCACTTCCCGGGGAAGGAAAACCAGACTGGAGGTGGGTCCAGAGAAGGCCGGGCCACCGAGGTCTCTCTTGCCTGCTTGCCAAACTGCACCGCCAGGGAGAGGAAAGGGACAGAACTTAAAATGGACTGTTAAATCTGTCCAACCGAGCCCTTAAGGCGTGTGCGTGTCACCTAGGTTACATCGCAAATGAGGTTCAAGCAGAGGCCAGTGGCCTGACTCCTGGAAGGGGGAAGCAGCAGGCTCCAGACAGACCACCAGCCCCTCCCAAACACCCGGGACCACCGAGCGGCTGGTGTCTAAGCGGGCAGCCTTTTCCCGGCTCTGGCCTCCAGCGTCTCTGCCGAATCGCCTGAGATCTCTGCAGGGAGCCGGGCGGAGGCTGAGGGGTGGGAGAGGGGAGCTGGCCTCCCCAGGACCCTGGATTGTGAGGATGGGGGCGGCACAGTGGGGAGGGTCCAGCCTTTGTGTCGGGAACCTGAGTGGTTTTCTGGCTTTTTGTGAGTCCTTGTTCAGTCGGCTTCTCCTCCTGTGAAAGGGGAACCCTACTCCTCACCCTGACCCCTTGGCGGGGAGGCGTACAGTGAGCTCAGAGATGTGAATCCATCTTCCTCAACATCCGCCGTATACCTGTGTTCATTTCTGCTCCGGCAGGAAGGTGAGACCACGCACTTGTGAGAACCCACATCTGTCCGTGGTCAACCCGAAACGCTGGCCCACCAGACCGTGACTCAGAAGGCAGTGAGCACACAGGTCCGGGCGGGGAGAGGGCGTGTCCGGAAGGCCTGGAGGGCGCCCACACTGCTGACTCGGGAGCAGGGTGGGGAAGAGGCTGTTGAGACCACAGAAGCCAAACTGGCGGCCTTGCCAGGGGGTCCCCGCCACCGGCCCTGCCCCCATCATCACCAACCCCCTCTGTCTCCTTCTCTTTCTTGGGCCGCCCCGGGCAGAGGCACCCCTGTGCCTGCAGGGGAAGGCCTGGGTGCCAGACGGGGGACACCTTCCCTTGTGCTACTGAGGGATCAACCAGGAAGTGGCCACTTACAAACTCTCATTCTTTGGCTTTGAGAGGCACACTTCGCCTTGAGACTGAATGTGTGAGTTTCACGCTGAGGGTGACCCCAGCTCCCAAGGCTGACCGCAGGAAGGTCAGAAGCTTCCTCCCCACCTCCAGAATTCCTCTAAGCATCCAGATCCTGGGCCTTCCCTGATGATCCAGTGGCTAAGACTCCGTGCTCCCAATCCCAGGTTGGATTCCTGGTCAGGGAGCTAGATCCCACATGCCACAGCTAAAGACCCTGCATGACGCAACTCAGACCCAGCACAGCCAAAGGAATTAACTAAAAATAAGTAAATACTTGTTTAAAAAATACATCCTGACCCCACTGCTCACCTGTCTCACACCACAGCAGCCTTCCTGCAGACGTTTTTCAGAAGCTGAGAGAAC